AATTATACACAAAATGTAAATGTGCCAGATTGTAGCAAACCTGTTAGTTTACATCTGTGGTCCTAGGGCAGGTAAAACAATGTCTCAGGGAGAGCGTTCTAAAAAAACAAATCGAAAAGATAAAAGTCATTAGATACAGCCTCAAAACTACCAAACAATGGATACCAAACGGTAATGACTTTTAGTTAATCGTGTGACTAGAACAACATCTACTTCACCTGTGATGATGTAATCTAATATAATCCATGTCCTCGAAGACTTCAGCAGCATATGACTTGTAAATACTCCTTCAGTGCCGAGAATTCTGTACTTCATTGCGACTTGTTGTCCCTGTTGAAGTGGGATGTGGGAAGTGGACGCCTCGGGGTCCACGTGTTCCTCAAGTGTTCGGAATACATTATTGTTCCCCAATGGTTTTCACAGCACATTTTCTACTTCCCGGTCAGTGAATTTCCCACATGAACCGAAGATATTTACTTTGTTTTGTAGAGAATTAACTTTTTAACTGCAAAAAGGGGGAAAGCGTGCAGTCTGTTGCCGCCATGTTTGTATCAAGTGTTAAATTGTGCTAATGTCATGCAAGCTAATATCAAATGTGAAATGAATTGCCTTCAGTGGTGGTGAAAGAGGATGGAATACTTTCATGAGCGCTGTTTGTTTTAGGATGTTAATTATCTGGCTGTCTCGGGCTTCTTCATTTTAAGCATGATTAACGGCGCTCTTTTGTAATTGTTAGTCTAGTCGTCCTTCACTGCACCCTGGTGGGCAACGCTATGACTCATTTAAATGCTGACTTTACATTTGTCTGTATAAAGGTGGTGTCTGGCTGGATTGTTAAAACAAAAACCTCTGTGGCCAAGGCAAAATGAAACCCTTTTGTTAAGCGAAACAACTAGTTTAATTCCTATTACTCGACTTATTACTATTATTTGCCAAGGAACCCATGGGGAAAGTGGTGCTACACAATTGCCAAAAGATTTCTACATGTCTTATGGAAGGTTTTGGTCTGCTATCTAAGAAGCATAGCACATACTTGTATTGTTTGTAGAGCCCCCTTGTGCGCTTTCTACGGTGCAGTAACGTGCGCTGCAACATGGAAATATCTCCTGTGAGACAAATAAAGGCTTTTATCTTATGTCTTTTGCATCATGCATTTGTAGCGATACCGTTGCTCTTTAACCCTCCTGTCATGTGATTATGTATCGATGTAGAAAGATGATTGATCACAATTCACTCGGCATCATTGTTATTGTGACGATGGCTCCCTCGCTCATTGAACCTCACACAAAGGCTTCTGTGGTTATTGTTGTTCAACCAACAAGCCAAATCTGCTCATGTTTTTGATGTACCTTTTCTGTGAACAAAATCATTAGATACCACTAAATCAAAGAGGTATTCATGTTGTTTTCTGTTTTGTTCTATCCACCATACTTTCATAACAAACTTAAATACTACATGTTGATTGCCCCAAAAGAAAAAAAAGTTGTGTGAAAGCCAAACTTGTAAATTAATCAGACTTTATCTAACATAGTTTACATACATGTAAGAAAGACCCCTGTGAATCAGTATTTGACACTTAGGACTGAAAGCCAAATGATTGAGGGACGGTGCTCTCCTTTTCTGTCTGAAAAAGATAATCTAAAGATGTGACTGAGACCAAAAATACGTACATGTGAAAACTAGAGAACCAAACTGTCAAAGTTCCCATGGAATTGCTTTAGAGTGCAAGTCAAAGGGAAGATGGGTAAAAAAATAACAGTATTCCCATGAAATTATCTATTTGGTTCTGAAGTTTAAGTTGTTCAACCATTGATTATGGGATAATCCAGGACACTCAACATTCATGAACATTTATTAACGCTTATGGACATTGGTCAACTCCCCCCTATGGACCCATACATATGTGTTTGTTATTATTTGTGTTTGAACAGTTTGATTCTCTGATCTGTGTTGGTGAATTCATTGGTTTTGTAAAGTCCTCTGAGAAAACTACTGTTGTGTTTTAGGGCTATACAAAAATACATTGAATTGAATTATTCATTACTCTTCAAAACATTTGAAGGCTAAATGGATTCACTGCTGGGAACAAATGTTAGTTTGGGTTACAGACCCATGACTTGGATGGCGTTTTTTAAATGGTTTAACATGACGCCTGCACCTGAAAATGTGTTGAGCTGTGGTACTGTCTTGTGTCCAAATAAATTCTCTCCTTACTGTGAATCTGCTGTCAAGGCTAGACCAATCTGAGCGCTGTTTTAGGAAAGAGGTCTATAAACATGCTAGAGGGATCTCAAAAATGCACGTTGGGCCCATAGTCAGTTAATATCACACATCCATATAAGTTGAAAACGCACGAAAGAAAACCTTTTTGAACAGGTAATTCTTCACTGAGAGTCCTCATTGAACTTTTCGTGCGTCTGTACTCTGCTCTTAGTCGAGGGACATCAGAAACCCCCTGCCTCTTTGAAGTATGAGAAGTGAAAACCTCCACAGAGCAGAGCAGGAAGCTTCATACGCTGTTAGATCTGCAGACTGGAGAGGCCTGATGGATTTTAGAGCATCACACTTGACTCTCCAGTGTCATGAGGTGGACAGGTGGGAAAAGTACAATAAGTTGGGTTTACGGGTGTATATATATATATTTTCTTTTTTCAAACTGACCTGAAGCACTGGAAAGAGAAACGGCAGACCTGAAACGACAGAGTTTTGTATCAAATGCTGCAAAGTTGTCTGTTACCCATCGCTCATTATAACAATATTGACATTTATAGATTTAAAAATGCATAAAGGTCTGAAAGTGACTTACAGTGACCATTATTTGTAAATTAAAGTTCCTGTTGGAGTACATGGTTTATGACTTCTGGGGCCATAGTTGATGCAATCAAGATCAAATTTGTTGCTGTTCCAGGCCTGTAATGGTGTCTATCTGTAAAATACACTCTGAGAGGTTCCGAGTTGAGTATATTGCTTTTGGCCTAAAGACACTCAGTAAATCATACAGAACTTTTTGAGTAATGGAGCTGTCCCTTCATTTTGTATGAGAGTTATTATTATAGTAAATCACTGTGTAGTCAGGGAGAGAACTTGTAGACGAGTGCCAGAGCAGGTCAGGCTCTTGGCTCACATGCAAGAGAAAGTTTATTGGATGGTTAAGTTGGGTACAAACTTGTGCTCATCTGATAGACAAGGAATTGTGAAATTGGGTTACCTTAAGCCTAGCGTACATCGGACTGGCAACTGATTATATCCGTCGCCTCTGAGTTGCTGCCCCGCACACATCGACAATCTGGCGAAAACGGGCAACTCTGAGTCGCAGGCCAGTCTCTTCAATAACAGCGCGTACATCGACAGCAACTGGCCTCAACTACAGTGTGTTTTCTGACAACAAACTGTTGCGGGCTCGCAATACACGCGATACACACACGTTGTTGGAGCGGCGCATGGAGCGCGCACATCGGGGCAACTGAGGACAACTAGTTGCCGAAAAGTAGAACACGGGCAACTGACTGGAACTGGAGACCGACTGATCATCTCCAGTTGTAAGAGCGCGCACATCGACCGATTTCGGCAACTGATCATCTCCCACCATCTCCTCTCAGTTGCCAAAAGCCGCCTTGCAACTAGTTGTCCCCAGTTTCTCTGTCGATGTACGCTAGGCTTTATGAAAATGTTTGAACATACAGTGAGATTGGAAGGTCTGTTAGTCCAAAATAAGGATGTAGATTACTCAAAAATGTTTTAGTCAACTTAAGGAAAAAGGAAATGATAAAATACATTTGGTCGACAGATTACTGGACTAGAGTTGTATACAAGTGGAGTTTTGAGCGTGTTATTGACGTCTTCAGAAAGCCTTGTTTCTGCAGACGTCATCAGGTCATCATTGCTTCTGCACACAATTGTCGGCTAAAGGCCATTGGATAAGAACGTCAAATTGATGCATTATGTTACTAGATACATTCACACACCTACGTATCCATTTTTTCCCTGCCGAGTCCCACTGCCACACTGACCTTTTTCCGGTCAGCAAAGGCTGTGGCTGCCTTAATTGCCTGATGGCACTCCTTGACAAGACAAACTTACACCGGCGCAGACTTGTAACTCAGTTTACATACAACATGACCTCGATAGACCCTCTCCGATCAGTTCTACACGCTCGGCCTCAGCCGCTAAAGGTCATCACCAGCATCTATTAACCCACATGGACTGCATGTGGATGTTATCAGATGGCTCCTGGACCCACTACACTGTAAATAAAGTCAGGCATTAATGTTTATGGACAAATAGTCAATGTTGTTACATAGTACTGTCACAAGAAAACACTTTTGATTGGATGATATATTGATACACAGATGTAGCGCAATAAACGCTAATATTGACTTTGTGCCCCTTTTCTCTGAGTGCAACCAAAAGCCTTTAGTTTCCTGATGACTGGGCAATTGTCAGCCTACCTATTACATTTAGTCCACCAGAGTGGAATCCAATCTCAGTATGATTACTGCTAGTCTGTGATGGCCTCACCGGTTTGCTAACAAAATATTGGTCACTAAACAGCATAATTAAGTACAAGGCACTCACCAGAGAGCTCAGGGATGAAATTTTCTCTAGCTTTAGACGTCACAGGGCACCATCCATCATCCGGGATTAGGAAGAGTATGGCACAACTCTAAACGTATCAAGACACGGCCGCCTGTTGAAACCAACAGCTTGAACGAGATGCCCATGGTAATTCTGGAGGAGCTGCTACATTGCTCTATTCACCATTCCCACTGTCAAACCTGGTGGTAGCAGCATCATGCTGTGGGACTGCTTCTCTTCAGCATATCTGAAGTAAAGATTCTGGGAAGAAAAAGCTGTTGTCTGAGACTTGAGACTGGGGTGGGGGTTTGACTCCCATTCATAACATCTTTTCATACTAGTCAACATTGTGATAGACTAGACACCATTGCAGTCCTACCACTAAAAACCTTCACTTTATTAATTTGGACTCTCTTTTGTTTCAGATGAAGACGGTCAGTGTGGCGTTGGTGCTTTGTCTAAATGTCGGCGTGGACCCTCCAGACGTGGTCAAGACGTCCCCCTGCGCGCGCCTCGAGTGCTGGATTGGTAAGAGAAAATACATCAACAATTGTGTTACTGGTGATAAAAAATGGTGCTGAAAAAGCTACGGCGCATAATTAGTTCCAACTTCCCACACTTTGTAATAATAAGCATATTCATTTCAAGAGGTGCGATATTCTCAAAAGCTGCAAACAGAATAATTTAAAGAATATAATGAACTGTAATTATCTTGCCTCTGACTGTGCAAAATATGTTTCTTTTAAAAGTGCCATTAAGTCTGCCTTTGGACACTTGATATAATACAATTTATAATAGGAATGACAAGACTTATAATAAAATAAATGATCCCAAAAAACATTACTTGTAAAAATCCACTTCAGTGCTTTTCACAAGTGCTCAGTGAACGAACCCGACAACCAACTGTTAGTTATGAATTATTCAGACGGTAAAAAGAAACGGTAGCTTTTAAATATTATACTAACATTTGTGCGACTTCATAAAATAACTACAGAGTTTAGTCAGTAAAGCAGAGAATGTAAGTAAGACATTTCTTTTTCACTACATACAGTTTATAGTTCATCCACAAGTTGATGTTAAGCCAATATTAAAGCCACAGCTGCCCTGGGGTAGACTGACGGAAGTAAGGACACCGATCTGCCTCTCTGGCCATTACCAGACCTATACTTCTCTATGGTCGAAGATTCAATTTAGCTGTGACTTTTCTTTCCATTAAGATAGCTATCATAATCATTTTTGTCTTGTTAGAATATTTCCCATTCCAAGCTCTTTTAAAATTGTTACTTATTTATTTATTCATTTATTTGACAGGGACACTCCAAGTAAACATACAACAAAACAAGCTTGTAACTGATGCAATGCACAAAGAGTTTATAGCTATTGCTAATTTTCAACTCCAGTCTCGGGTTGGGCCTTTCTACACTCCATCCATCCATTTTCTTCCCCTTAACCCATTTCTGGGTCGGGGAGGTGGCAGTCAAAGCTGCACCCAGTACACATAGCACCAGTCCACACATAGCACCACCATAAGTTTTTAATTAAGATCATTCTCAATATTATCTTAAAAACACACACAAACTCAATGCTATTTACAAATGGGTACAATTCTCGTTTCCATTTCAGCCGGGATTTAATTCGAAGTCAACATTTTAAACTCAGTCATGGTTTTAAATTCAGTGGGTAATGAGTTCCACAAATTTGCAATGTAAATGCAGACTGAGACTTCAAAGCTTATCCCTTTTCGGATGTTCCACCTGTTCATATTTTTATCCAAAACAAGCTTTTCTACATAAATCTGATTGTAGTATCTGAATGGTTGCTCAGTGTGTATCGTGGTAAAGTACTTGGCCTTGACTTTTTGTACGGAAAGTCTCGTAGTTTCATTTTCTCCTCGCACCCTTTTGAGATATTTTTGCCCCCTTGTCCCTTGGGAGATCTGTCATCCTGTGAGTGCACCCACCAGAACAAAAACACAGACGCCGTTTTGTTCAGGTCCCCGGAGACTCTTCAACTCTAGGAGAGGACATTAAAGACCACACACTTCTTAAACTTTCCAGAAGTACAGACACTTTTTAGGGAGCCGTCGAAATGACACTCGCACTGTTTTCAAGCAGTGTTACACAAACTCTACAGAAAATGCATCCGAGCCGAGTGTGTGGCTGTGACCTCTTGGGGAAAGACACGACACCTAATGTTTGTTACAATTCGAGTTCTATATATTCTAATACACATTTTTAACACATTATGAAATAAATACATTATGAATACATCTTCCCTGCTTGATAAGCAAAATGAGCTGTTTTAATCCATGTTTTCCATTTCTGCATGGCATATTGATTGACTGCCATCAATAATTCAACATGAGAAGAAGCTTGCTTTCACAACATGTCATTAATCAGTAACGCATGGACTGAAGTGTTTGTTTTATGAGCGCTTGTGAGTTTAGGGGTGGTGAAAATAAATTAAGCATATAGACAGAATGTCATGTGCTGAAGAACAAAGCCTCCCACTCACTTCATTGAAACAAATGACATGTCGTGGAAAAAAATATATAATTTCCAGACAACATAGAGGGGGTTGTTATGTCTAAAAATTGCATCTTGTTTTTCACACTCTTGTCACAACTGTTATGACATACAGTGATACAGCTGTTACTATTACATACAATAGATCAAGGCAGAAATGTGAAGGTAATGATTATGTAATGAAAATGGAAATCAGGGCTGGGGAATCTCAGGGTTCTTCACAATACATTATATACAACTCTACAATGCGATCAGAATATTGGAATGCTAGTGATTTTTATTGACATTTTTACCCTTGTGATAGAATAAGAAAATATACATCTTCTACATTAAAATACCCTTTAATCAATTTGACTTGAGGATATCACAAGGGTTAACTATTTATTTTAACTTTTTGGCTTTAACTTCATTGATGGCCCTTGCATTCTGCGAGATTTGTGTACGTGGTGCACATAAAAAATACTGCACCATTTGTGATTTATCAAAATGCCTGATCAATAAGTGGTGTGTCCTGTCTGCACTTCGCACTTCAAACCAAAAACTATCTGTCAGTCATTGGGGTGATCCAATAATAATAACATAGTTTAATAGCCGTTAGTTACTCTTGATGAGGACATGTGCCCATACCACCCCGCCTCTCTCATGAACCAGGTCGGAACCAGGTCTAGACTGGTTCAGCTCTCAGCTGATAGTTTGGATCTCTAAATGTTGGAAGCTTTTCTCACACTTGGCTTGATTTCTGCCAGTCTATGTCGTAAAATTCATGGGTAAGTCAACTCAAGCATGAATATACTGGGGCATTTTATCCAAAAGGACTCCACCACGTCCTGCATATACACTGTTTCATGAATCCCGAGCTCCCGATGGCGTATACCCACAAAACAGCCAACATGTATGCCCTGCTTCATGAAATGTTGATAAATCAGGCCCATTATGTGAAATCAAACTGTGGCCAAGATGTAGTTTTTCATTGCCTTTTACAATCTCAAGTAAAAACCTGCAACAACATTGAACATCTCAAGTGTATTCTTATTTTGTATCATTTACACAAACAATCTGAACTTGTCTGGTTCGATGGTATATTTCACATGCTTATTGTGCCATATTTACCCCATTCTTTTTTCCCTTTAGATCCTCTATCGATGAGCCCACAGAAAGCCCTGGAGACGATCGGGGCGAACCTGCAGAAGCAATATGAAAACTGGCAGCCGCGGGTGAGTGAGTTCACTGCTGTTTTCTCATAATGATGCAAGCTCCATGTTTACTCCTTTTAAAAACTGCATCAGCCGGCAGAAGGGGCGCTCACATTAGAATGAGATGAGCTCTGTGTGTTTGTATCCAATGGTCAAATTGATCTCAAGTTGTTGCAGCGATTTGGCAAGCTTTTCAGACACGCTTGACGGAATATATTGGGTGCTTTTAAGAAGTGTTGAGCACTCAGCGAATTTGAATGTGTCTCGTTACTATGGTTGCATTATACTCTGTGATGGATGATTATGTTGCTGTTGCTTTGAGAATAGTGGTGAATTGGGCCAAAACCAATCTTTGTCTTAAGGCTGATGGGGCGACAGAGGGACGCTAACCAAAAGGGTTCGGCGCTTTATACATTCTTTAATTAATTGATTTCTGCTGATGCGATGCCTGTCTTACATCAGGAGTACACAACTTTATTGCGTAAATGTGAATTTTGAGTTTTTCCACTGAGTACAAGAAACAAGCAGCACTCAAAAAGGAGAACTCTGCCCACTTTTCAGCAAATGTTTATTTATCTGAACATGTTTATCTCTCATTACATTTCTGCAATCCATAAGGAAAAAGTACCTGTTTTGATGATGTGTCATTAATTCATATAGGGTAGGTACCACAGGTGTAATGTTATAGCACTAGAGCGTTTTATTGCTGCGGCTGCTTTAGATTTTGAGTTCAACACAGATGAAAACAGAAGGTGTTAAGCAGTAGCACTAACAGCTTACAGTTCTATTTTTAAAGCAATGATGCACCATCATCTTTTTCATATTATGTTGATTTAGTTTTAATGTATTTGCTCTGCCAATAAAACGCCTACAACTGTGGCAGCTATTTCTAGCATTTTAACACATACATAATATTTTCCTCAACTATTGTTTATGTAGCTTCTGAGCGCATTTATATTCTGGCCAGCGGCAGCCCTTTTCCTCGGACATTAGCTGTTAGCAAACAGACTTTTCCCACAGGCTCTCGGGTCGACTTGTCCTTCTCTCCATGGCTCAGCTCTGAAGCTTCGAGCAAGGGCACCAAAAGCCACTCACCGCCGGTATTGTATTTATTCTCCGCATAAACTCACCAAACCTTCATAAAGCAGAGATTTGAGTAGGGCTGTGCCAAAAAATGCTATCTCAATTATGGCCCATCTCGATTTATCAGCATCAATCTCACATGTTTGCAAAAATTGATATTGGTGCTAATGAACGTGAAGACAGCTCTGCTCTCGCATTCAAAGTGCTTCACCCATTCACACACTTACAACAAACAAAAGAAGAAAAACTCAAAGTACAACAAATATCAATATATAATTGAAAGGAAAACGGCAGTATTCTAATTTAATTTTGTATGCGCCTCAATCACAAATGCAGTTGTCACTGAATTCAATTCAACTCAATTTATTCATGTCAAATCACAGCAGTATTTATCTCAGAGGACTTAACAAAAACGCTGAAATGGCCAACACAGATCAGAGAATCAAACACAAAAAAGATATAGAACACTGAGGTATTGGGGAGTTGACCAATGTCCATGAATGTTGTAGAATATCAAGTCTCCTGGATTATCACCACAGTCCTTTTTGTCAGACCACGGAAGACTTTACAAAGTTGTTAATTCACCAACAACAGATCAGAGAATTAAACAGTTTGAACACAGGAAATGCAGTAATGGCAAACACAACGAAGCCATTGGTCCATAGAAAGTGTGATAACCAAGGTCTATAAATGTTGATAAATGTCCCTAAATGAGAAACCTTGACAAGGACCATTTTTAGAGAAGGATCTGCTCCCATGGACGGACTCACTGGTCCTTTATGAACAGTGTAGTCTGTCAAGGCAAACATTTACTGAGATCAATCAATACGTATAGAGCTAGTGGATTTTTTATTAAAATGCATAAGTACTTTATTTGTACAGTTTACTGTAGGTTGGGCAGAAAACATTATAATGGGTGAATGAATGGATCAGTTATTTTATCTGGAATGGTATAACCTTTAGGATCCCACTTGGAATTGGTAAAGAAACACTTTGTGGCTCATGCTAGACCAATATTTTTACGGCCGCTGATTTAAACATTCACGCGCACTTTATGGTTAATATTGACAATATTTTTCTTTTTACTAGCTTTACAAATTGGATTATCTTCCACCTTTGACTGAACTGAAAAGAGTGGCCATGGAGTTTTTAAATAAAAGGTCTTAAAAGAAGGTCTTCATTTAAACTTGACCAAACCTGGGGCGATTCCGTTAGAAGCCGTAGGGAGTGACTCTTGGGTCCCCCTCAGATCTCTTAGTAAAACATTGATTGCTTCAGAGCGTGTGTATGCTAACTTTTAACATTAGAAACCAATTAGTACATGGTCAAGATGTTTAATTATAACACCTAAAAAGCCAACTCTTCACAAATCAATGTTTAACGACATCTTGAAAATCTTTTGCTCTTACATGCTTTTTTTTCATATATATAATTTTTCCTTCTAACACGTCTGTGGATTTTTGACCTTTTCTCAGAATGTCAACGTGATTTTCTTGCCGCAGAGAATCCCAAGTTGTCAGCCTGCCCCTGCACCCTGACTTAACACTTTGGTATTTTGTTCGTGAAGCGGTAAATATTTAACTGTACCAAAACATGCTAGCTTTATATTAGGACATTTTAAAACGATATCCCAACCTCTGCTCCAGTGCATCCCCTTTTTTTCCTTTTCTCTCCGCTCAGCTTCACACAATGTCGCATTTGCATCAGAGGTAAGCTTTGTGTGAGTTTTAAAAGTGTCCAAAAATACCCCATTACTATGGTGAAAAAAAACTGATGACTCCAATTCAAAAGGGAGGCATACAACATGTAAATATGCACATTACAAACTATTCCTAAAGTTAAAATGAAAAAACCCTGCATATTTCCCCATCAAAGCTGACCTATACTGCTCAGTTTTTCCAGTCAGCATTCTTGTATAACTGCAGTCCTTATACATCTATATCTTATTTGTAGACTATTTCTGCTCATGTACTTTCCTTCTGTAACAAACACAACCAGACTAGATTTAGCTGCGGACGTAGTTTCAAAGATTCCCCAACCTCCCCTCTCTTCTCGAGCTGCTGAGGGGGATGGAGAAGAGTACCTTCTACTTGGCTTTCTCTTTGAGCCCTGCTTCTCGACATGCCTCCTCTGCTCTTCTATTCTCTTTCAAGCTTTGCTCTCTCGTTCCCTCTCATTCCATGTCCGCGTTTCACCCTGTCTTCTGTGCTTTTGCTATATTCGTTTAGCAATACTTTTTTTTTCTTCCCTGGAATGTTATTGTCTTGATGTTTACAAGCTGCAGAGATAGAAAGTGACATTCTTCCTTGTCAAATTGGCTTTAAACTAGCACACTGTCCTTTGCTTGCTGAACATGCAGCAGCTGTCATACACTATCACCCCATAAGGTCAGTAAGTGCAATTCTCTTTCTTCTTATTCCATCCTGCTGCCTTGGCCACTCCAGACCCCCTGCTGGTTATTCTCTATATTGCAATATGTATCACACAGCTGTGCATCAGAGGCAATAAGGGCTACTTTCTCACCAAATGCCACACACACACACACTAATGGCTTCCAGTAACGAATGGTTTGGCTGCAGCTATGGCAGTGATGTGATGGGTTGTTCAACTTGTCTCCATCACTTCAATTCTGACTTTTATTACTGTCACTCTTTTTTGCCGGCTGTATGAACATTCTGTATTTGGTATTAGGTTTATCTGTTTGCTTTTAGAAAAGATGGCTGTCTGTTGGTGATGAGCACCTGTCTTACCAGATGGCCGGTCTTAAGTTGCCAACAAGGCTCTGGATGCAACAGGAAATATTAGCATTTAGATGTTAAGCTACATTCCTTTCGCTGATCACAACCGGTAAAAGTCCAAATATCCTGCATAGAAAGAATGGACCTAATAATATTTCAATAGAAACACTATGTTGAGAATTTTATGTATGAGCAATTTGCCTGATGAAGGTCTCGGGACCAAAACGTAACATTTTGCCCAAAAAATATTTTGTGCAAGGACAGCAGTGTACGGGAACCTTTTTTTTTTCATGTGCACCGGGACTCTTTCCCGTTCTCCTACGCACATGCTCCAACCATTGTTGTGCAATATTCTACTTCTTAATATTGTTGCTGAGAATGTTTTGTCTGAAACACCATTTGGTTAAAAAAAGATTGCTTTGCTCAAATTTTTTACTTCCACATCTGAACAATAGGTATAATTATCTTTATTCTTACCAATCATTTACTACATTTAGCCTCAAGAAAAATATGATCATGAAAATATTATGCAAGGACATTATTCTCTGCATAGTTCCCTTGTGAGAATCTGGTTCACATGAGCAAACATTGAATACACCTGAAATGAGCTGTGAATAAATTGCACAAATAGGACACTTGGGCGTGTTTAATATTTAAAACAAAATTCCCACAGAATAAAGTGGATCAAATGTATATCAATAACTACGCTAACCCAACACCAGTGTCTGTGCAAACACACGCATGTCGATAACCAGCCCCAGTTCATTATAACATTACTGCCTTTAAAGACCGCACTCATCAGCCCAATGATTCCTCCATCCATCCATCCATCCATTTTCTTCCGCTTTATCCGTTGCCGGGTCGCGGGGGCAGCAGTCTAAGCAGAGACGCCCAGACTTCCCTATCCACACACACCTCCTCAAGCTCGTCCGGGGGGACCCCTAGGCGTTCCCAGGCCAGCTGAGAGACATAGTCTCTCCAGCGTGTCCTGGGTCTTCCCCGGGGCCTCCTCCCGGTGGGACGTGCCCGGAACACCTCCCCAGGAAGGCGTCCAGGAGGCATCCTGAACAGATGCCCGAGCCACCTCAACTGGTTCCTCTCGACGTGGAGAAGCAGCGGCTCTACTCCGAGCTCCTCCCGTGTGACCGAGCTCCTCACCCTATCTCTAAGGGAGCGCCCAGCCACTCTGCGGAGGAAGCT